TGGGTTCTCTCCCGGCTCTGGGAGGGGAGTGGGGGCTGGTGGTTAGAGCAGGGGGGGCCTGGGAGCCAGGACACCTGGGTTCTCTCCCGGCTCTGGGAGGGGAGTGGGGGCTGGTGGTTAGAGCAGGGGGGGCCTGGGAGCCAGGACACCTGGGTTCTCTCCCGGCTCGGGGAGGGGAGTGGGGACTGGTGGTTAGAGCAGGGGGGGCCTGGGAGCCTGGACACCTGGGTTCTCTCCCGGCTCGGGGAGGGGAGTGGGGGCTGGTGGGTTAGAGCGGGGGGTGGAGCTAGGACGCCTGGGTTCTTTCAGGCTGAGCTCACCCGTCTCCTCCTGCAGGGGTCCTGGCCGGCCACGACAACCGCGTGAGCTGCCTGGGGGTGACGGACGACGGGATGGCAGTAGCCACCGGCTCCTGGGACAGCTTCCTGAAAATCTGGAACTAGCCCCCCTTCTGCCCCACACCCTGGGGGTGTGGCTGCCGCTGGCCCCACCCTCAGCAGGGAGAGGGCGTGGCTTTAGCCCTTCTTTGGGGGCCCCCCCTTTAATTTTTTCGAATTATTTTTGTTTTTCTTCTCCTGATTGAAAAGAAGGAAAAATAGCCTGCTGAGGGGGTGGGGCCTGTGGCTAGCAATGACCTTTGACCTGGGGTGGGGCATGAGGTGATTGACAGCTGGGGCAGGGTCCTCTCTACTCTAGTACAGGGGAGGGAGGCTTACACCCCAATTTTCCTGCCCCCAGTACCCCCTCCCCAAGGCTCTCTTGGGGAGTAGTGGCTAATTGGTCCCACCCACTATGTGTGGCTCCTCCTCCAGGAGGGGGGGTGCACCCTAGGCTCCCGTTGCCCCTCCCATGTGCCTGAGTGGGGCTGGAGGGAGATCAGGTTAGTTGGGGGGCCCCTGAGGGGAGGTGGGATACCGGGGTAGATGGGCCCCTGACTCTGAGGCAAAGGAGGGGCAACGCCAGACATGGGGGCGCTCCTGTCCTGACCCCTCCCTCCACTCCCCATCAGGGGCTTCTCTCCCACCCCCTGCCGGGGGTCGTCCTGTTTGCCGGGGGGGGGGGCTGTTTCTTCGCTGGGGTGTTTGTAACCGGCTCCCGGCACCGCATCAAACCATAAATGACCAAAACCAACACCCTGCCTCCCTGTTGTTACG